TCCTCTGTCCGTCGGCATAGAGGTGGTAGTTGAAGCCGTGAGGTGTATGAGTTGGGTCCAAGGGGAGGAGGTTGTAGATGGAGAAGAGAAGGGGCCAAGGACGGAGCCTTGAGGGACCCCAACAGAGAGGGGAGCGAGGGGGGATCGGTAGGTTTAGCGTTATAGAATAACGCTGAAGGAGTGTGAGACGTTGATAGGTAGACGAGAACACAGGAGAGAGCAGAATCCTCTGAGGCGAGGAGTGTAGTTTTTTGAGGATGGGTGGTCAACTGTGTTCAAAGGCAGCAGAGAGGTTGGGGAGTAGGACACTGAAGGAGTGGCCATTAGCTTTTGGCGGTTAGCAAAGTCGTTGGAGAGTTTGAGTAAGGCAGTTTTGAGTGAGTGTAGGGGACGGAAGCCGGACTGTAGGGAAACGAGGAGGTAGTTGTCGTTGAGGTGAGGAGCTTAGGCGATTGTAGATTAAGCGCTCGAGGAGTTTGGATGAGAATGGGAGCAGGGAGATGGTCTGAGGTTGTTCGGGTGTTGGGTCCAGAGGGGCTTTTTAAGTATGGGAGTGATGTGCGCGTGCTTCAGAGGGGAGGGGAATGCGCCGGAAGAGAGATTAAAGATGTGGGTGAGGGGGGCGTTAGGGATGGAGGGGGAGGGAGGTATAGGAGTTGTGAGGGGGGATAGGGTCGAGGGGGCGGTGGTGAGGCGGGCATCAGAAAAGGACCTTGGTGACAGTCCTCGATGGTAGTAAGGTCAATGGTGTGGAGGGGGCTACAGTGTGAGGAATGTTAGGTGGGGAGGAGGTCAGGGGCAGTGGGAGGGAGATGGGTGATGAGGGGGTTAGCTGTGTGAGAGGGGACGAGTTTGGAGGGGAGTTTGGAGCGGTGATGTCCTTGCGTATTGTGTCAATCTTGTTTTTAAAGTGATTGGCAATCTCATGGGCAGTGGTGAGGTGCTGGGTGGAGGTGGGGCGGAGAGAGTAGAGAGTTAAAGGTGGAGAAAAGTCGGCAAGGGATTGGAGGAGAGGGTCTTGATGAGGGTCAGGAAGTAGGCTTGTTTGGCAGGTCGTGGAGGGCGGAGGTGTATGTGTGGATGGCTGATTTATAGCAGGTGAAGGCTTGTTGGGATCTGGTTTTGCGCCATAGTCGCTCCAGGGCACGACTGTCGTTTGAGAGTTTTGGTGTGATCAGTCTGCCAAAGGCTGGAGCGGTCAGGGTCTGATGTTTCGTGTGGGGGGCGCTAATGAGTCAAGGGCGACTGACAGCGAGTTGTTATTGGTCAGTCATAGCCAGGTCGGGGCAGGACGGGGAGGATGCTGTCGTGGAGTTGGATCAGCTGCAGAGTGGAGAGGGGCAGGGTTTAGGTTGCGGAGGTTACAGCTGGTAGTAGTATGGCATTTGGAGGGGTAGGCGTTAGAGGACGAGGAGACAGAGAAGGTAATAAGGTTGTGGTCCGAGAGAGGGAAGGGGGTGTTTTAGTGAGGTTGTGGGGAGGGTGCACGCAGAGGTGGGAGAAGACAAGGTCCAGGATATTTCCGTCGGAGTGGGTGGTGGATTGTATGCACTGTGTGAGTGCAAAGGAGGAGGTTAAGTGGAGGAGTTAGGATGAGGCCGGGTTGTTGATGTTGACAGGGATGTGTTGAAATCCCCAAGGATGATGGTGGGTAGCTCGGAGGAGAAAAAGAAGGGTAACCAGGTGGAAAAGTCATCAAGGAAGCTGGATACGGGTCTAGGAGGCTGGTAGATTACGGCAACCTTCAGGGGGGTTGGGGAGAATAGTCGGATGCAGTGGGCCTCGAAGGAGAAGGATAGAGAGGGGGGGTTTTTGGGAGGACTCAGAAGGTGCTCTGTGGTGACATATATATTTATATATATATATTTATTTATATATATATATATATAATATATATATATATATATATATATATTTGTTTCTCTTGTAGAAAATTTGTCTTCTCTTCCAACATCCAATACTAATTATCTTAGATGGGTGCTTTTTGCCCTTATCTGTGCAGACATCTATCATAAAGAGCAATTGGTGGGTGTTTGGCAGTTACTTCCTTTTTACATCTTTTTTTGATTGCATTGACTGACATTAATGCAGCCTACCTTACGTACCTATCACTTAGATGGCCCCAGTGACTGATGAGCCCTTAGCACAGGTAGCTGGGTCCCTAAGGGGACGCAAGTGGGGAAGTGGTGGCCATGTGGTTTGTTTTTATGCTACGGCTGATGTTTGAACTTTTGATTCAATCTAGTGTGAGTATTGCATACTTACATATATCTGTATATTGATAGTGTATGTATTCAAAAATTGCAATTTCAGTTCCATAGATTACACTATCTTTCATGCAGAAATATCCCTGAAGAAGGAGCATTATGACTCTGAAACACTTGGGGTATTGCATGACAAATTGTACATTTCTCTATGTACTATAATTGGTGGGTTGAAGGTACCAATAATTTTGTCCAGTCCATTTTTGGCATTTTGTATGGAACGTCAGATTTGGCTTTTTTGTTTCTCCACTTTTTTGCCTCATACCAATACAAACAAAAGAAATAAATATGAGAATGCCTAAACATTTATAATTGCAACAATTTTCTGGGGTGAAGTGGTGCATTGTCTGACAGAAATGTAGGTGTGCTAGTATTTTTTGCCATGACTGTATTTTATAAGCATTGTTTTATTTATTGTGAAACTACTAAAAATTGTTGTACTTTTATACATATTTGAGTATTTCTGCCTGTAAAAATCTCAAACAATTGGGGGAAGTTTCCATAGTTAACTTGAATACGGTATACCTCTGGATGAGCTGATTCTGGCGATAGGCACTGATCAACTCCCTTGTATGCAGGTACAATGTAAATGTTTTCTTTATTAAAGTGGTTTTATCTGCACTCTCCAGTGTGCTCTGCTTCTGTCATGTATAATTGGCCCTTGGAAATATATATACAGAGCTTGTCTGGATCCAATGTAGCCTGATACATTTGTAAGATTAGAGATACAGTATATATAAATATAGCCGGTAACTGACAGGCTCCAAACTGTCACATAGACCTATCAACCCAGGAAAGTTGTTGCATTCCAAAATGTCTCAGTCAATATGTTTAATTCATTTCAGGTTTAACAGTTGCACAACCGTTTCAAGTGTCCCCACTCTTCACCAGGTGCAGGTAAGCTCAACCATTGTTGTGCAGTTGTTACCTGGAATAAATTCAACATATAGAGCAAGAGGGTTGACTTCTCTGAATTGGTGTGTGTGTGTGTGTGTGTGTGTGTATACCACCACTACCCGCCTGAACCACAGATACAAGGCAGGATGGATTCATGCTTTCATGTTTTTTACGCCAAATTCTAACCCTACCATCTGAATGTTGCCGCAACCAGTGTGCCCATTCTCCTCTGACATCAAGGTATTTTCGCCCACACAACTTCCGCGCACTAGATATTTTCTCTTTTTCAGACCGTTCTCTGTAAACCCTAGAGATGGTTGTGCCTGAAAATCCCAGTATGTCAGCAGTTTCTGAAATACTCAGACCAGCCCATCTGGCACCAACAACCAAGCCACGTTCAAGTCACTTAATTCTCTTTTTTACCCCATTCTGATGCTCGGTTTTAACTTCAGTAAGTCGTCTTGACCATGTCTAGATGCCTAAATGTATTGAGCTGTTGCCATGTGATTGGCTGATTAGCAATTTGTGTTACCAAGCAATTGAACAGGTTTACCTAAAAGTGGCCGTTGAGTGTATAATTAGGCTTAAATATCTAAATGAATCACCTGACAAGATCTATAGAAAATATATAGCTTTGTTATCAGCCCCCACCCTTTCTGCCTTTAGGCGATTTTTGAAAACTCACTTCTTCAGGGAGGCCTACCCCACCTCCACCTAAGAAGTGTACTTGAATCACCTCCACCAGATCATCCCCCTCATCTATCACCTTTTGTATCACCTCCCCCTTCCTTTAGATTGTAAGCTCCAGGAGCAGGGCCCTACTATTCCTTCTGTACTGAAATGTATTGTAATTGTACTGTCTCCCTTATATTGTACAGCGCTGCGCAAACTGTTGGCGCTATATAAATCCTGTATAATAATAATAAAAATAATATTTTCTAAAAAAAACAGCCCTCAACATGATAGAATATGAGACCCTAGAATAAAAATCACTATTAAAGCAGTGTTTGTTTGTTTTTTTTTTTTAGAAACATTTTCCTGTTTTTGCACTTAAAATGGAGCTAACCTTACTGTTCCTTCAATGGTCTCGTCTCTCAATGGCATCTCCTCCTAGGTGACTGTCACGTACCTGGTTGAGGCCAAGCTGACGAGAGGGCTTTCCCTTACACCTCCTGTCCTGTTTCACCTGGGGTTGATGACAGGGCATGGAGGGGCATGGGTGTTTTGCTGGAGATTATTATTATTATACAGTATTTATAAAGCGCCAATAGTTCGCTCAGCGCTTATATCCTGGCTGGAGAAGATGCCGGACAGCAGGCAGACTGGTGAAGTTACAGATACAGAAGGCACTGTAGCAGGTGCAGAAGAGCAGGCAGTAGTCAAGCTGGTGAGCAGGTGGATGCAGCAGGTGGGGGGTGGGGGGGGGGGGGGGGGGGGGGGGGGGGGGGGGGGGGGGGGGGGGGGGGGGGGGGGGGGGGGGGGATCTCAGGTGGGCAGAAGTCGGTAGTAGCCAGGTAGCCGAGGTACAGAATCGAGAACCAGAGCATAGTCAGAGCCAGGCCAGGGAAAGTAAAGTTTAGCAGAGAAGGTATGGAACAGCTGGCAGGAAGCAGAGTCAGGTCACAAGCCGGAGTCAACAACAGAGTATCAGGAACAAACGGAGTCAAACAGGTCGGGCCAAACACAGGAGTGAGCACAGAATCAGGTCACAGGCAGTAGGAGCTGACGACCACTCAGCAATCCTCTGGTTTCTACAGCAGCTTTAAATAGGCAAGTGGGTGCCTAATGTGCGTGAGTGTACTGACTGACCATGCTAATGTGCTTACGCATGTGCATGAGTTAGGGCATGTCCAGTTCTTGTTTTTGAGAGTTGTGTTTAGAGATGAGCGAAGAAATGAAAAATTCGATTCGACTGATTCGGCGAATTCGTGGACAATATTCGATTCGAGCGCACACTTCACTCATTTGGGCAGTCACGGGGCCAAAACCAGAGTGTGGAGCCACAGTGTGGCGGTGGAGGCAGCAGCAATGGGAGGCCATACAGCACCCTATGACAAAAATGGAAACCACCAGCAGTGTGAGGAGACCTGAAAGTGGCACATGGCAGAGTGTGGCGATAGAGACAGCAGCAATGGGAGGCCGTACAGGGACCCATGACACACTCTGGACCTGGCAGCAGCATGAGGAGGCGGTACAGGGGCCCATGACAGATTACGGGCCTGGCAGCAGCATGAGGAGTCGGTACAGGGGCCCATGGCAGATTACGGGCCTGGCAGCAGCAATGGGAGGCCGTACAGGGACCCATGACACACTCTGGACCTGGCAGCAGCATGGGGAGGCGGTACAGGGGCCCATGACAGATTACGGGCCTGGCAGCAGCATGAGGAGTCGGTACGGGGGCCCATGACACACTCTGGACCTGGCAGCAGCATGAGGAGGCGGTACAGGGGGGCGCATGACAGATTACGAGCCTGGCAGCAGCAACTTGGACAGGAGGACGTTCAGCTTCTGCACCGTCGGGTGCGTGCTCGCAAACTGTTGTCTCTTGGAAACGGATTCCAAGAAAGACTGCTGACGGAATCCGTGAAGAGGAGTAGCAGGAGAAGGAGCATCTGAACGAGCGGAATATGCCAACAAGCGACAACAGTGGCCCATGACAGATTACGGGCCTGGCAGCAGCATGAGGAGTCGGTACGGGGGCCCATGGCAGATTACGGGCCTGGCAGCAGCTATGGGAGGCCCGTAATCTGCCAGCACCCTATGACAAAAAATGGAACCCACCAGCAGTGTGTGAGGAGACCTGAAAGTGGCACATGGCAGAGTGTGGCGATGGAGACAGCAGCAATGGGAGGCCGTACAGGGACCCATGAGAGACTCTGGACCTGGCAGCAGCATGAGGAGGCGGTATAGGGGGCCCATGGCAGATTAGGGGCCTGGCAGCAGCTATGGGAGGCCCGTAATCTGCCAGCACCCTATGACAAAAAATGGAACACACCAGCAGTGTGAGGAGACCTGAAAGTGGCACATGGCAGAGTGTGGCGATGGAGGCAGCAGCAATGGGAGGCCGTACAGGGACCCATGAGAGACTCTGGACTTGGCAGCAGCATGAGGAGGCGGTATAGGGGCCCATGGCAGATTAGGGGCCTGGCAGCAGCTATGGGAGGCCCGTAATCTGCCAGCACCCTATGACAAAAAATGGAACACACCAGCAGTGTGAGGAGACCTGAAAGTGGCACATGTTTGGGGCATGATTCATGGCGGATTTAGTCAGTTGTGTCAGGAACTGGTGGTTTGAAATCCAGACTAATCCACGCCTGATTCATTTTCACAAACGTGAGTCTCTCCACACTTTGGGTGGACAGTCGTGTCCTCCGCGGAGTTGCAATACCTCCTGCCGCACTAAACACGCGCTCCGATGCCACGCTACTGGCCGGGCATGACAGCCTTTCAAGGGCAAATTCAGCTAGTTGGGGCCAAAGGTCAAGTTTCGTTGCCCAGTAGTCAAGGGGATTGTCTACCTCGGTTGGCAGGGTGCTGTCCAAGTAGGCCTAAGCCTGTTGTTTGAGGTCCTGCTCCAGGTCCACCTGATGCTGCTGCTGCTGCTGCTGCGGCTGGTTAGTAGTTTCCTCACTGCGCTGGTGAAGAAAGCTACTCATCATCGACTGCAGACTGAGGCAGCCGCTGCTGGTGGAGCTGCCACTGCTCCTACCACCCCACCCCCCTCCCCTGCTGCCATGGCAGCGGAACACGAGCGCACAGGGCCCACAGTGTCTGAGGATGGACGTTGGCGCAGACAGGCAGAGACCAGCTGACTACATAGGTGTTTTTTATAGTACGTTATTTTGGCCTCCCTCTCAGCAGGTGTGAAAAAGGCCACCATTTTTGAACGGTAGCGAGGGTCCAACAAGGTGGACAGCCAAAAGTCATCCCTCTGTCTGATGGTTATTATTCGGCTGTCGCTACGCAAGCAACCGAGCATGCTATGGGCCATTTGTGCCAAGGAATGCGAGGGACTCCCCTGCCTCCATCTCCACAGCATACTGCCACGGTGCGTCTAGGTCCTCTGTCTCCTCTTCCTCCTCCTCTACCAGATGCTCCTGCTCCTCCACTCCTGTCCGCTGAGTGGAAAAACCACCCATTTCACTCAATAATTCCTGAGCACCAATGTCCTCCTCTACCTCCTCCTCTTCTTCCAGTCCTCCTGCCCCCACAGGGGCCATGTGGCGTTGAGATCTGTGCGCCACGTCTACCGCACCCTGACCAGCCATTGTTAACAGCATTTGTTCCAGGACGTGCAACAGAGGAATGACGTCGTTCATCCCATAGTCCTGCCGACTCACGAATAGCGTGGCCTCCTCAAAGGGCCTGAGCAAGCGCAGGTGTCACGCATGAGCTGCCAATGGCTGACATCTAAGTTACACAGGGAGTACCTTTATCTGCTTTTAACATCAGGAAATCTGTGATGGCCTTTTGCTGTTCGTAAAGGCGGTCTAACATATGTAGGGTTGAATTCCACCTTGTTGCAACGTCACAGCATGAGGAGTCGGTATAGGGGCCCCATGGCAGATTAGGGGCCTGGCAGCAGTTATGGGAGGCCCATAATCTGCCAGCACCCTATGACAAAAAATGGAACACACCAGCAGTGTGAGGAGACCTGAAAGTGGCACATGGCAGAGTTGGCGATGGAGACAGCAGCAATGGGAGGCCGTACAGGGACCCATGAGAGACTCTGGACCTGGCAGCAGCATGAGGAGGCGGTATATAGGGGCCTACGGCAGATTAGGGGCCTGGCAGCAGCTATAGGAGGCCCGTAATCTGCCAGCACCCTATGTCAAAAAATTCAACACACCAGCAGTGTGTGAGGAGACCTGAAAGTGGCACATGGCAGAGTGTGTGGCGATGGAGACAGCAGCAATGGGAGGCCGTACAGGGACCCATGACAGACTCTGGACTTGGCAGCAGCATGAGGAGGCGGTATATAGGGGCTTATGGCAGATTAGGGGCCTGGCAGCAGCTATAGGAGGCCCGTAATCTGCCAGCACCCTATGTCAAAAAATTCAACACACCAGCAGTGTGAGAGAGACCTGAAAGTGGCACATGGCAGAGTGTGGCGATGGAGACAGCAGCAATGGGAGGCCGTACAGGGACCCATGACAGACTCTGAACTTGGCAGCAGCATGAGGAGGCGGTATATAGGGGCCCATGGCAGATTAGGGGCCTGGCAGCAGCTATAGGAGGCCCGTAATCTGCCAGCACCCTATGTCAAAAAATTTAAACACACCAGCAGTGTGAGGAGAGACCTGAAAGTGGCACATGGCAGAGAGTGTGGCGATGGAGACAGCAGCAATGGGAGGCCGTACAGGGACCCATGACAGACTCTGGACTTGGCAGCAGCATGAGGAGGCGGTATATAGGGGCCCATGGCAGATTAGGGGCCTGGCAGCAGCTATGGAGGCCCGTAATCTGCCAGCACCCTATGTCAAAAAATTTAACACACACACAGCAGTGTGAAGAGACCTGAAAGTGGCACATGGCAGAGTGTGGCGATGGAGACAGCAGCAATGGGGGGCCGTACAGGGACCCATGACAGACTCTGGACTTGGCAGCAGCATGAGGAGGCGGTATATAGGGGCCCATGCAGCAGATTAGGGGCCTGGCAGCAGCTATGTGAGGCCCGTAATCTGCCAGCACCCTATGTCAAAAAATTCAACACACCAGCAGTGTGTGAGAGACCTGAAAGTGGCACATGGCAGAGTGTGGCGATGGAGACAGCAGCAATGGGAGGCCGTACAGGGACCCATGAGAGACTCTGGACTTGGCAGCAGCATGAGGAGGCGGTATATAGGGGCCCATGGCAGATTAGGGGCCTGGCAGCAGCTATGTGAGGCCCGTAATCTGCCTGCACCCTATGTCAAAAAATTTAAACACACCAGCAGTGTGAAGAGACCTGAAAGTGGCACATGGCAGAGTGTGGCGATGGAGACAGCAGCAATGGGAGGCCGTACAGGGACCCATGACAGACTCTGGACTTGGCAGCAGCATGAGGAGGCGGTATATAGGGGCCCATGGCAGATTAGGGGCCTGGCAGCAGCTATGTGAGGCCCGTAATCTGCCTGCACCCTATGTCAAAAAAAATTTAACACACCAGCAGTGTGAAGAGACCTGAAAGTGGCACATGGCAGCAGAGTGTGGCGATGGAGACAGCAGCAATGGGAGGCCGTACAGGGACCCATGAGAGACTCTGGACTTGGCAGCAGCATGAGGAGGCGGTATATAGGGGCCCCATGGCAGATTAGGGGCCTGGCAGCAGCTATGTGAGGCCCGTAATCTGCCTGCACCCTATGTCAAAAAATTTAACACACCAGCAGTGTGAAGAGACCTGAAAGTGGCACATGGCAGCAGAGTGTGGCGATGGAGACAGCAGCAATGGGAGGCCGTACAGGGACCCATGAGAGACTCTGGACTTGGCAGCAGCATGAGGAGGCGGTATATAGGGGCCCCATGGCAGATTAGGGGCCTGGCAGCAGCTATGTGAGGCCCGTAATCTGCCTGCACCCTATGTCAAAAAATTTAACACACACAGCAGCAGTGTGAAGAGACCTGAAAGTGGCACATGGCAGCAGAGTTGGGCGATGGAGACAGCAGCAATGGGAGGCCGTACAGGGACCCATGAGAGACTCTGGACTTGGCAGCAGCATGAGGAGGCGGTATATAGGGGCCCATGGCAGATTAGGGGCTGGCTGGCAGCAGCTATGTGAGGCCCGTAATCTGCCTGCACCCTATGTCAAAAAATTTAACACACCAGCAGTGTGAAGAGACCTGAAAGTGGCACATGGCAGCAGAGTGTGGCGATGGAGACAGCAGCAATGGGAGGCCGTACAGGGACCCATGACAGACTCTGGACTTGGCAGCAGCATGAGGAGGCGGTATATAGGGGCCCATGGCAGATTAGGGGCCTGGCAGCAGCTATGTGAGGCCCGTAATCTGCCTGCACCCTATGTCAAAAAATTTAACACACCAGCAGTGTGTGAAGAGACCTGAAAGTGGCACATGGCAGCAGAGTGTGGCGATGGAGACAGCAGCAATGGGAGGCCGTACAGGGACCCATGACAGCTCTGGACTTGGCAGCAGCATGAGGAGGCGGTATATAGGGGCCCATGGCAGATTAGGGGCCTGGCAGCAGCTATGTGAGGCCCGTAATCTGCCTGCACCACCCTATGTCAAAAAATTTAACACACCAGCAGTGTGAAGAGACCTGAAAGTGGCACATGGCAGCAGAGTGTGGCGATGGAGACAGCAGCAATGGGAGGCCGTACAGGGACCCATGAGAGACTCTGGACTTGGCAGCAGCATGA